GTCTGTGTATGTGTATGACCGTGTGTCTGTGTAAGTGTGTCTGTGTATGTGTATGTCCGTGTCAGTGTATGTCCGTGTGTCTGTGTAAGTGTGTCAGTGTGTCTGTGTAAGTGTGTTTGTGTGTCACAGAAAGTCACGGAATGTCACAAACACGGGAAGTATGATAGTCACTTCCCGTCACCACCGCAGACGTCATGAGTGTATTTTAGTTGGGAGTGTGCATGTTGTAGGGAGAAGAAAACAAACAGAGGGAGAGTAGGACATGGGATATAGGAGCAAGAGAGTGAGGGCAGGCTTGAGTTTCAAGGTACGCAGGCAACGATACCTTCCTCTAATGAAAGCAACGGCGTACACTATAGACTGAATGCTTGGGAAAATGCAGATTTTGGTTCGCCAATTCTGCTTCGGTGGTTCAACCGTGCGGCGCATAAGACAACACACACAGACCGAGAATTAGTGAACAATGTGTCACACACACTCACACAAACTTTACGACACACAGACTCTCGGTCATTGATGTGTTATGAACATGATTGTCCGCTGCAATTTCGCCAGCCCTCACTCACATAGACTCCCGTACACGCCCATACATGGAGAGAAGGAAGGGGAGAGGAAGTGGAGTGCCACAACGCGGAGAAAAGAAAACGCAGTGGAAGACTCACAAAAGCAAAGTGACAGAATATATAGTACAGTGAATTCTCTCTACATATGCATTGAGCCTTCCCCGCTGCACTTACGATAGAGTGCACATGTCACCTTGCATTGTCACACATGTCGCAGTCTTACATTACACAGAATGACGTCACCACCATCAGACTGCAGAAAAGGAGTAGATGTCGTTGACCATAAAACATAATCAATCATTATAACCAGTATCCAATAAGAGAGTCAAGAGTTCCTGGATTCAACTCTCAACAAAGTATCACATTTTCAGGCAGCCACAAACAGTGCGCCGCCTGAAATCTGCGGCTTTGGGACTTGGGCTCAGGGACAAGTCCGTGTCTTGACGGAACTCTGGTATGACCAGGTAGCAAAAATTAGGGGAACTCAGGGGACCCCTGATTTTGGGCGCACTGAACCTTACGAGTAACCCTCAGAGATGACAAAATGGGTAGCTGCTCCCGGCATATCTAGGGACCGTCATTTCAGCCCGATCCGAGGCTAGGCCTCGAATGGTCGGCCGCAAGGGGACATCGCGGAACAAACCTCGCTGCAACGTTTTTGCAGCATACGACCGTGACCGAAATGAGGCCTCAAATTTTTGTCTATTTTAGTACCATAATTAAAGATGGGGAAAAGGGATTAAGACCAGTAGCGGAGAAGAAAAAAACATAATATCCCTTAATTTCTTTATTTTTCACAGCATTTAATTCAAGGGGGTTTACCCTTGTTATTTTATGATTCCCGGCAATGAAATTAAAAACATAGAAAGAGATTAAAAATGGTAAAAGAGAAAAGAAACAGAAGGAAATCGGCCATTCATTTAAACTTTCCCAGAATTTAATTTTGGGGAACTTACGGTTGATTTACTATTTCCGACAATAGAATTAAGGAAAGGGAAGAATGATGAAAAACGATGAAGGGGACGGGAACCCATGATTGTTGGGAGAATGGCCTAATTTCGCCTCGATTACCCGCCATCAGACCTGACCCCGGATCTAACATTTTCCCCGGATTTTAACAGTTTTCACTACTGCCGATGGTCGAGGTTCCCTGCGTCGCTTTCGCTGGTTTGCTTGATTACTAACATTACCGCAGTTGGGATGTTCTGAGAGCGGGAGTCGCATGGACAGGTGCCACCTTGTGTTTGGTTCGGTACGGGTACGAGGGTTGTTCCAGGTTTGGAACCTTCACAGCAGTTTGTTTTCAGNCGGGAGTCGCATGGACAGGTGCCACCTTGTGTTTGGTTCGGTACGGGTACGAGGGTTGTTCCAGGTTTGGAACCTTCACAGCAGTTTGTTTTCAGGTTCGGAAACGTTGCGGCATTCTATATCAGGTTCGGAACCGGTACGGATTTATCATAGCATGGTTGTACGCGTTTGGCATCCGCGTGGCATAGCAGTCGGTACTGGATTTCGGGTTTGGTTAGGTTCGGTGGCTTCGCGGAAGTTTCGTGTCAGGTTCGACGGCCTCACAGCGATTTATTTCAGGTTCGGAACCTCTGCGGTGATTTATTCTCAGGTCCGGGACCACTGTGACGATCTATTTCAGGTTCGGAACCTCTGCGGTGATTTATCTTCAGGCCTCCAGCCACTGCAGCGGTATATTTCTGGTTCGGTATGGGGCCAGCGTCAATATGTTTCAGGCATGAGGCCACAACGGCGTCTCGTTTTCTTTCAGGTTTGCGGCTACTACGGTGATTTATTTTCAGGTTCGGAACCTTGACRGCGGGTTACTTCAGGCTCGGAACCACTACAGCAATACCTTCCAGTTTTTGACACCTATACGGCTCTTTATTTTAGGTTCGGTGCCATTGCGACCATAAAATGTCGAATCCGGTATTGGCTCGACTTCGGCATAATTCAGGTTCGGAATCGACGATATTGGTGCGACACAGCTCACTGTGGCACGGGATACTTAATTCAGACTCACTTTCCTTTGGTTCGGCGTCACCTCGGTATGGCCTGCCACGACCACGAACAGTTACCTCAGGGTTGCCGTTGACTCGACTTAGACATGGTGAAGCTCACTGCGGATTTGGGGCGGTATGTTTCGAGCTCGGGATGTGTTWAMCTTYAGTATGGTATGGCCCCGGTCGATTCAGCTCGGGGTATGCTTGATCTACTGGGCCGCAGTACTGATAWGGCGGGCCRTGAAAGAACTCATACCGCTGAACTGGGACTGGCCTAGTGATGATGAACCCAGGTCCAAGGCGCAGATGCGGTACCGCAGTGTCATTGCTCTAAGAGCAGACCCCAAATTGGAG